ACTTGGACGGGACCACGTCCGCGTTTGGCGCTACGGAGCGCAACGCTGTCAACAATGACATCATCGAAAAGTATGCGTCGCAAGCCTACCGCACGTTGTGTCTGGCGTACCGTGACGTGGATGTGACCCCAGAAGTGGTCAAGAACTGGTCGGACGAGGAGATTGAGACGGACCTGACATGCATTTGCATCGTCGGGATCGAAGACCCGGTGCGCGAAGAAGTGCCGGAATCCATTCGCCAGTGTAACGAAGCGGGCATTGTCGTGCGCATGGTGACTGGCGACAACATCGTGACGGCCAAGTCCATTGCGCTCAAGTGCGGAATTATCAGTCCCAACGACGGGTCGCTGGTGATGGAGGGGTCCGTGTTCCGCGCTCGCGTGTTGGACGCGAACGGCAACATCAAGCAGGACGAGTTTGACAAGATCTGGCCCATGCTTCGCGTGTTGGCTCGGTCGAGTCCCAAGGACAAGTACACGCTGGTGTCTGGGTTGATTCAGTCGAACGTGTATCCGCATGGTCCCCAAGTGGTGGCCGTGACGGGCGATGGGACGAACGACGCCCCGGCTTTGAAGAAGGCGGACGTCGGGTTTGCGATGGGAATCTGCGGCACGGCGGTGGCCAAGGACGCGTCGGACATCATTCTCATGGACGACAACTTCCGGTCGATCGTGAGTGCGGTCAAGTGGGGCCGCAACGTGTACGACTCGATCGCCAAGTTCCTCCAGTTTCAGCTGACGGTGAACATTGTGGCCATTTCCACGGCGGTGATTGGCGCGGTGGTGCTGGAAGAGTCGTCGCTCACGGCCATTCAGTTGCTGTGGGTCAACTTGATCATGGACACGTTTGCGTCGTTGGCGCTAGCCACGGATGCCCCCACGGAAGCCATGCTCAAGCGCAAGCCGTACCCGCGCACCAAGCCCCTCATTTCGGAGCGCATGTTGAAGCACATGGTTGGTCAGTCCATCTTCCAGTTGGCGGTGATTCTCACCATGACGTTTGCCGGGGACAAGATCTTCGGCATTGATTCGGGCCGCAAGTACGACCGCAAGCCGGTTGGCGCGACCGGACCGTCCGTGCACTACACGATGATCTTCAACACGTTCGTGTTCCTGCAGCTGTTCAACGAAATCAACGCCCGTCGCATCCACGACGAGCTGAACGTATTCCAGGGCATCCTGACCAACCACATCTACCTTGGCATTTCGGTGTTGCAATTGATATTGCAAGTGTTGATCGTCCAGTTTGGGTCGCTCGTGTTTGGTTGCGTGGCATTGGATCTGACCCAATGGTTTATCTGCATTGCCCTTGGCTCGCTTTCGTTACCGGTGGGCCTGTTCCTTCGTTGCATCACCCTTCCTGCCAGCTTTACGATGTGCCAGGAAACGTCGGTTGTTGAGAAGGTTCCCAGTGCCCGCACCAAGACATTGTGGCGCCGAGGTTTGAAGCGCCTGCAGGTCCAGATGCGTGTGGTGAAGGCGTTCCAGAAGTCAGCGACACAACAAAAGGTGTTGGAATTAGCGTAATTTCGATGTAACGATACCGTTAATCGAGTGAATTTATTTGAACATTGGGTGAAGAGTCGGGTCATTTCTCGAACGATGGTGTTTTATTGTGTCGGCCCAGAGCTTTTTATATTTGTGATCTGAAATTTGCCTTCCATTTGTTATCGTCGTCGTACGTTAACGCTAGCTATTTTTCGGTCGGCTCTTTTGAGTCGACAATTGTACTGTACTTATTTTGGGCTATCTGTCCCAAAATAAGTACTATTAATAGTACGCTACTATTGTACCGTCTAAAATTCTAAGCTATTCCAAAAGCAGGGTAAATTGTACTCCTATAATAGTATTGTGCTTTTCACTCGTTTTGGCTATTCACACCATAAACCTGGGTGTTTATTACATCGACCCCAGTGTTTTAGATCATCCGCACCGTGATTTAGGATCACGTTTCGTTACAGAATGTAATTATAGTTGATTTATGCAACTCCCTCGCTTTTGCACATTTGAAAAGTGCAAATCGAAGTTATATCTGCTATTCTCGGGACCAAATTGCACAATTCAGTGTTCACCATAAACAACTTTTGATAGTACAAATGTCACACAGCGAGGACAAGCACCAGAGTTCTACCATATAGCGATGTACGTATGGTGCCACATGGTAGAAAACCACGCCATCTTCTTGTTCCATCGCATAGTACATGCATCTACTACACGATGGAAGAACAGCCAAGGTGTTTTGGTCACTTCAACACCACATGTGATTATTATTGCTCAGAGTTATAATAGAGCTCGTTCGAAAACCTGTTGAGTTAGAATTTGACTTTCAAAACATGTCGCATAAAACGAAACTCTAGGCCAAGAAAATAGCTCTATCGAAACCAACCATTCGAGTTTGACTCAATGTCGCATATAAGTACTGTAGGTGTCGCGAGGACTTATACGTGAAAACATGACCCACGAGCAAAGCAATGCAGCACTCTTGGACACCTTGTACGAGGAGCCAGGTGCTTACGCAGGAACTTTCTAGAAATCGTTTGCATGCGAGGACGACATCCTCCTCCTATAGAGAATCAACAGCGTAAAGCCATGGGAAGCACCGTCCGGCCAAGTCATGAACACCTGGGCCGATCTTGCAAAGGATCTTCGCGACAACCGCCGTTTTCGCCTTACAAAAGATGGCCCTGCATGCAAGAGTCGATTCGAGAAGCTCATCAAGGCCCATCCATAGTGGCGACTCCTTGGCTGCGATGCGGCGCAGCGGCACTGACGAGGAATTTGGTGAACGTGACCAATTACTCGAAGACATCTCGTCGCAAATGGAAGACCACAGAGTCTTGAAAGATGCAGGCTGTGCGGTAGAAGCGAAAAAGAAAAATGGAATCGAGAAGTCGGGGGTGGTTATGCGGCAGCTCGCGATGGAGGCCCTTGACGATGACGATGTGGGAAGTGCACCTCGAAGATCAGTCAGGTAGCAGCGTCTGCTAGCTGTGTAGGAGGTTTTTGTGCCTTCTAGAGGCTTTTCCTCAGAGTAGAAGTCAGCGCAGACATTTGGTCACGGAACATCATTGGATGTCGTGATCAATCATAGTTAGTTTTGATTGGCTGGTTCTTTCCAGTCAGAAGTAATTCACTTCCAGTTATTCCTTCTGCCTGCCAAGTGCCTGTTCCTGCCTACT